ATATATATATATATTTTTAACTGGGTATTAAACTCAGGAGCTTGCACTTGCCAAGTAGGTGCTGTGCCACTGAGCTATCTCCCTGGCCTTCTGTCTTTTTTTTTGTGAGCAGTGGGAACCGGGAATCTAAACTCAGGACTTCACATTTGCCAGGCAGGTGCTGCACCACTAAGCTAAATCCATAGCTCCTGTGTTTTAATTTAAATATTGACTGTAACTTTTTTTTTTTTAAAGATTTTTCAAATAATTTTATTGAGAAGCAAGTATCAGTGAGACAGTTTCATAACTGATTACTGGCACATTTTCAATAATTAATACATTACATTGACTAACTTTTGATCTTTCTTTTTGAGGGAGGGTCTTGCTGCCTTGCTTTGTCTATCTCAGTGCTTCTTTCTTAGACTTTGAAGCAGCTTGAGTGATAGATATGTACTAGCATGACTGGCCCACATTTGTTGTTGTTAATGTTATCATTACTGTTATTAGTTTGTGGGACTTGAGATTGAAGCTGGTGTCTTTGACCTGAAGTATACTCTCATTCCTTTTTTACTTTGTATTATGAATTAGTCTCACTTAGTATGAAGTCAGAGTCCTCTTGTCATCCAGGGTGTTAACATTACACATTTGCCCTAGCCCTGTCCGGCTCATCCTGATTTTTTTAATTTTATTTTATTTATTTGTGTGTGTGTGTGTGTGTGTGTGTGTGTGTGTGTGTGGCCAGCTCAGCCCACCAGGGGGCGGGCTGGCTGGCATGTGGTGCTGGGGGATTGAACCGCGGTCCCTGTGCTTTGCCAAGCCTGTTCCAAGTAGGTGCTTTAGACCACTGAGCCATCTTACCAGCCCCATCCTGATTATTTTTATGTGTATACACATCCTTGTTTTTTCTAATTTCGTTTAAGAGTGTAGAACATGTCTCAGACATGGTAAACTTGCCACAGTGCCTGTACCTAGACACACTAGAAAGTAACTGACTTTTTCCTCTGCAATAGCCACACCAGTTGTTGAGTCCCTGTCTCTCTTTTGCAGTATGTTCATGCTGATGCTCCTACCAATAAAACGCTGGCTGGACTGGTAGTGCAACTTCTCCAGTTCCAGGAAGATGCCTTTGGGAAGCATGTCACCAATCCAGCCTTCACCAAACTACCTGTAAGTAAATTTCACTCATTGTGGGGACATCTCACTTTCTGTACTCTTTGCCACTGACAGCCTGTGGAATTAGAAAAAAGGAAATGGGTGGATTAGCTATGGAATTTCAGCAACAGAATTTTATTCCTTTTTAATTGTAGGAAGCTACTTCTCAGGAGTCACTGAGGATATAATGCTGTAGTAAACAGAGACATAACCTAGTATAGTGGTGGTAACTTTTTCTTCTGTTTTTGCAGTGTTGGATATTGAATTGAGGGCCTTGCAAATGCAAGCCAGACAGTCTACCACAGAGCTGTACCCGCTTGCCCCTTTTCTTTTTTTTTTCTTTTTTTTTTTTTCCCTTTTCTTGATATTTGCAATTCTGTGTCTGTTTATGATAGTTTATAACTTGAAGATTCAGTTACGTGTCTTTTTCTATTTATTTGGTGCTGCATTGGGATTGAACTCCAGGGTCTCACTTGCTAGAGTCAGTTGTGTTGCTGTAGTTCAAGGAACATAGTCTATTATGCTTTTCTGCTATTTTGTACTTCTTTATATTTTTGAACTCTGATTATACAAATACTAGATTTTTAGAAATTATCTGTCATATCTTTTTAAAAGGTATGATTATGATTATTATGATTATGATTATTAGTCTTTTTCAGACAGGGTCTTTCTATGCAGTTCAGGCTGGCTTTGAGTTCACTTTGTAGCCCAGGCTGGTTTCAAACTTGCAATAATCCTCCTGCCTCAGCCTCCCAAGTGCCCACACCTGGCCTTTTAAAAAAATTTTGTCTTCCAGTTCACTTGTTCAGTTTAATTTCTTTTTCTTTTCTTTTCTTTCTTTTTTTTTTTTTGGTGGAACCAGCGATTGAACTCAGGCCCTTGTGTTTGCCAGGGAAGCGCTTATTCCACTGAGCCATCTCGCTGGCCCCTTAATTTCTTTTTTATTTTACTTTTGGTACTGGGGATTGAATTAAGGACCTTGCGCTTACCCGGCAGGTGCTTATGCCACTGAGTTGTATACCCAGCCCCTTGTTGAAAATATTGATAGGCGTTTTTTGCGTCCATCAAAATTCTTAATCACTTAACATTTTATCCACTTGCTGGATCCTTCTCTTTTCTTTTATAGTTACTACTGTCTGAATCATCTGAACGTTCCATATTTATCTCTTTCTTATTTTAGATTATGGAATAGGTTAGAGTATATTGAGAATAGGCTGAAGGTGTTACTGCTTAAGGAACTGTAATATATTGATTGAGCATTATCAAGTATAACATAATATAGAATAAAATTCACATATGATATATATCTTCTGTGAATCAATTATTTTGGTATTCTGAGTTAAGAATCTATTTGTGTCTTCTGACTGGTATTTACCACAAAGGAATTTGTTTTGAGACAAGGTCTCATAGTATAGTGTAGACTAGCCTTGAACTCAGATTCTTCTGTTCCTTACTCTCTGTGTGGGCTACCATGCCTGATGACTAATAGGGCTTTATTTGTGATGTAATTTAACTCCTGGGCACTAAGCCATTATTTATTTCCAGATTTTAAAGATTAAGAAAAAATATTTTTAGAGATATGCCAGCCATAATTAAAAATAATTGATGGTTTGATGCCAGTGAGACCAGATGTACTTCTCTTTCCTCAAAGTAGTGTTCATCACTTTCCAAATAAAGGGGATTGATCTGATATGTAGTAGTGCTTTTTATTTCTTTATTTTATTTTTTATTTTTTTAAATTTTATTTATTTGTGTGTGTGTGTGTGTGTGTGTGTGTGTGTGGCCAGCTCAGCCCACCAGGGGGCGGGGCTGGCTGGCATGTGGTGCTGGAGGATTGAACTGCGGTCCCTGTGCTTTGCTAAGCTTGTTCTAAGTAGGTGCTTCAGACCACTGAGCCATCTCTCCAGCCCCTATTTTTTATTTATTTTTTCTTTTCAAAGTTTTATTGATAAACATATAGCAATGAGACAGTTTCAAATCAAATCGGGAGTACAGTTTCAACAAATAATACACTGCATATGTTCTTCTTAGTGGTTAATTGCTGTACAAGATGCAGACTTGTGATCCTATTTACAAACACCATTAGAAAAAATCATTCTATTCATTAAGAGAATGCAACTATATATCTATCCCAACCACTTTGAATACACAGATACAAAATGGACATTCATAGTTATATCCCATTTTTTTTAAGTTCCGTTATTGAATATTATAATAGTAGTGCTTTTTAAAATTATTTTTGTTTTTGTTTTTTCTTTTTGGTAGTACCAGGGATTGAACTCAGGCCCTTGAGCTTGCCAGGGAAGCGCTTATTCCCCTGAGCCATCTCTCTGGCCCCCTAAAATTATTTTTAATATTTTAAAAATTAATTATTTGGTACAGGGTCTTGCTCTATGCAGCTTGGACTCGTAATGATCCTCCTATCTCAGCCTCCGCAGTGCTGAGATTACAGGCATGTACTACCACACCTGGTTTTGGGGGAGACATGGCGCAGCATGCTTGCCAGGCAGGGACTTAGACCACTGAGCTGCCTCCCCAGTCCCTGTAGTAGTGTTAAGATTAAGAAAGCTAAGAATGTTTTAGTGAAACATAGAAGCTCTTTGCCTGAAAGGTTTTTTCCCTTGAATAAATACTGATAGTAGAGAGATTATTTATTTATATTGATATTTATTGTATTTGGTGTAGGTTCTCACTACACAGCTTGGACTTGTAGTGATCCTTCTGTTTTCAGCCTCCCCAGCACTGGGATTACAGGCATGCACCACCACACCTGGACTTGCTGGCTCAGGGTGCTGGGGGACAGGGCCAGTGCAGCAGGTGGTGCTGGGGATTGAACTCCCATCCCTGTGCTTGCCTAAGCAGGAACTTGGTCCACTGAGCTATCTCACCAGCTCTATTTATTTTTTGAACAATCACAGTGGAGGAGCAAATTCAGGGACCATGTTTCGATCCCCAGCACCACATGCCATGCCAGCCCCAAGGTGGACTCAGCTGGCCACAGAGTCCGGGTATAGTGTTGCATGCCTGTAATCTCACTGCTGGGGAGGTCGAAAGCAAGAGGATCACCACGAGTTCGAGCTGCGTAGTGAGACCCTGTAACAACCAAAACTTTGTATGCTGAATTCCCAAGTTATACTCACAGTATATGTTCTATAAAAAGATAATTGAGAAATTAGACTTGGAAAGAAGAAAGGATTTCATAAGAATAAAAATACATTGTGGAGGTTATAATGTAAATTAAAGCAGAAAAATCTTTGTAACCCCTTAAATAAAAATCATGACTGAGGGTAGCAGGTATGTAATTCCAGTGCTTGGCAGGTTGAGGCAGGATAGCTGTTTGAGGCTAGTCTTTACATAGTTAAAGACCAGGCTAAACTACTTAATGAGACCATGTCTGGGGATACAAGTGGTTTATTGTTGAGCTTTATTCTAGCCCCTCCTCCCTTAAAGGTCTTTTTTTTTTTTTTTTTTTTTTGAGACAGGGTCTCACAGAAATCATACAGGCTGGACTCAAACTCAGAATTGTCCTGCCTCAGCCTCCCCAAGTAGCTGAGCTTATAATTATAAGCTCGTGCTTCCAAGCCTGGCTTAGTTTATATCCTTCTACTGGCTGGTAGGAATTTGAGTTACTTCAGTTTTCTTTCTTGTTTTCAATTTTTAGTTTGTTGTGCTGGGAGTTGAACTCAAGGCTGCTTGTGCACGCTAGGTAGACGTTTCCTCTGAGCTACCCCTCAGCAGTGTTTCCAGCTTACAGAGTAAAGCTGCTGCTGCTGCTGCTGTTACTGTGTAATGCTGGTTTTCCTTCTCCTAGGTAAATACCTGGGTACAGAATACTTTTCAAAAAATAGTCCTGCTTTTCTGACCTAGCTGTGTCATCTTAACATTGCATTTAGCAGTGTGAGTTCCATTGCTTCCACATCCTTGTCAGAACTCTGTTTGAGCCATTCTGATGGGATCTCCCTGTTATTTTAATTTGTATTTTCTCAGTGATTATTGATGTTGAACACTTGCGTATCTTCTGTGAGCATTCAGGAAAATTACTTGGTTTCTAAGACTACCCTTCCATTTGTTGATTTATATGAAGCTGTACTTGGTGCTCTGCTTGTCCCACTGTTTGTTACCACAGGGTAGGGAGCATCTAGGTGAACACTGGGAGTATCCACTGGAAGGTTATCACACAAGCTTCCTTGTGTAGTAGCTCGGGGGAGGGGCACTGTTTGGGGGAAGTGGAGCCTTGGGTTTGAGGTTGTTGCTAGGGACTGGTGATAAGAACTCTAGTCCAGCACATACCATGTTCCAGGTTCAGAGGAAACACAGAGGTATTATAAAGCACATTATTTGCCCAGTCTATGTGGTTGTCTTTTGTATCTGTTAACTGGCCTGCTGGGTATGGGGTGCTCACCTGTGATCTTGGGAGGCTGAGACAAGAGGATTGCTGCCAATTCAAGGCCATCCTGAGCTACATAGTAAGTTCAACACCAGTCTGAATTACAGAGTGAGATCCTGTCTCAAAACAATAGTAGAAAAAGTTGATTGACCAGTAACAATTTGTGTGAGATTTCTTAAATGCCATTCTTGAAATTAGGCCTTAGTAAGGAGAGTTATCTCAGACCTGCTATGGTAAATACTCTCTGTAACTCAATTATTTTGCCTTTTATTGATACTTGTTTTGTGGTTGGAACTCCAGGGATTTTGTGTGTGCTAAGCAACTTTCTGCTACTGAAATACATTCTAACCTCTATTGAATCTTTGAAGCTTCTTTAGATAATTCAGTTAGAATTTTTTTCCTGTGGTGGACATGGTACTCAGGGTTGCACACACTGGGCAAGGGCTCTGCTGCTGAGCCACATCCACATTCCTATTACAAGGTGGTTGTTGTTTTTTGGTGTGTGTGTGTTGTTTTGTTTTTTGTGGAACCAGGGATTGAACTCAGGCCCTTGCGCTTGCCAGCAAAGTGCTTGCTGAGCTATCTTTCTGGCCCTTTCTTTTTCGTCTTTGTCTTCGTCTTTGTCGTC